TTTCTAAATGCAGAAAAGGGGGTAAGAGGGAGACGGAGCAAACAGAAGGAGTGCGAGAAGCGGGAAGAAAAGCGACTTTCAGTCAAGAGGGTGAAGAACTCAACAAATGCAATGTTTTCCCGTAAGCAAAGTTTTGTCCTCGGAAAACATTTCAAAGCCCTTACAAAAAATTTAAAAAATATGTTTTTCATAGGTTTCTTGATATGCTCTACAATCTGGACAGATCAGAAAACTTTTTGGTCTAGAAAACTGGTTTTCCAAAAACCGGGTCTCCGGAGGCCTAGCAGCCCAAATGCTTGTCATAGTCGGATTCAGCATGTTTGCTTACCTATTGTCCACTAGCTTAGAGCTCAAAAGCGAGTTGACAGTTGGGGACCTTTCCTCGTGAGACTTGACTCGGACTGAAAAACAGACGACTTGCCCGTCTCTACAGATTTTTACTAAGTTTTTAATTTTTTTAATGAAAATCAGTGTCATCAGGTTCAGCATAGTCGATGACTTATATTCTCATCGAATTTTGTGATCGTCAAAAATCATCAGAAATCGATGATACGACTCCGAAAAATTCGATAGCACGCCTTAACGATGAGGAGCGAGAAGATCAGAGAGGGTTCTTTATTGTGAAGAGAATACTCTGAACCATTTTGCAGTGAAAAAAAAATCACTACAATTTTTACTTCAAACTTTTGAGCTGTGTATGGCTTAATTTTCCAAAGATTGTCCGGTCACAAGAACGATTTTGCTTATGAAAAGATGATTGAAAATCTCCTCATTTTTAATGACAAAAGATCAAACTCTCTCTCTGTATCGTTTGCTATCGCGTTATTTTAAAGAATGAACAAGTGCACTCTTTTTCCTTAATAAATAATAATCTCTCGAGGCTCGATGAATTAAATCATTCAATCATAAATACTATTGAAGGATGGTGGCCATTTCTTGCACCAATAAAACCGGGTGTCGTCAACGATAAAGCTTTACTTGGGGTAAGAAGTCCACAGTCAATTAATAAACAAATTAAACTAATTATTTTCACTTTGTTTAGGGTAAAGTTGAAGCTGAAATGACATTGTTATTAGCTGAGGATGCTGAAAAAGCTCCAGTCGAAAGAGCACGTGCAGAATTGCCTGACCCAATGTATGTATATCTGTATTGTATAAACATATGTTTTAAATTTTGATTTATTTATTCTTATAATGTTTATAGTCGTCCAAAAACGTCATTTTTATGGTTTACATCACCATGGAAAACATTACGTTTTGTTATTTGGCGAAATTTTAAATGGCCAATTATTATTGGTCTCGTTATTTTTATTGTTGTTCTCTTTTTTCTCATTGCTCTATGGACTGTACCAGGTGAAATTGTTAAAATAATCACCGGCAAAATAGTTAAAACCCAACCTTCGACATAAGTTCTATTGCTTATGTCTGTATATACCGCTTGTTTGTATTTTTCAATATACCTGGTGCGATCAAACCCGATGCAAATTAAAGAACTAAATATAAACCGGTACTATTTTTTTAAAATTTTATTTTTGTTTTTATTGAAATGTTAAAAATAAAGTTATTCTGTATGAAAAATATGTAGAGGTTTACAATCGAATAAGAATAGTCTCCGGTTAACAAGTAATAAAGAACTCTCTTCTTGTTGATTTAAAGAGAGTAAATAGGCGTATGCGTTTGGATGGGAGTGCGCGTCGACGATGCCAAGCTGAACTATACGAAGCTCTGCGGAAATGAGTGTATTTGAGTTAAAAGAATGAGATCTATGTTTTAAAACTGATGATTCATCCATCGTTTTGTATAATTGTTTTATTACATTTTCATTATATATAGAAGTACAAGTATACAGTGAAGAGTTGGACAAGAATTTAAAAGAGAACGTAATGTTTCTTAGATTGAATCGGGAACTTATGATCTAGACTAACGCATAATAAGAGGTTAACGCGTCCCTCTTGGGTCTGCAAAAGTTCACGTTTCGTCCCCTGAACGTAAACGCTAAAGCACGTTCGCGTTCCTCAGACGTGAACGTTAAAGCACTGGTGAACGTGAGCTTTTTTTATACGAACGGTGTTCATATTGTCTGAAGTAAATATAAACTTCTGTTCTTGTACTGTAGTAAGAACATATATATTTCTGATTAATCTTATCTGATCAATATAAACGAATAGAAAACTACATGATGACGTTCAGATATCCAAAAAATGTTTACCATCCCATCTTTAAAAGATATTTTTCAAAAATAGTCCTAAGATCCAAAACATTAAAAGATGGGTCAAATTCTTTCACTTAACTTCCACACTATATTTATCTTACTCAGTTTTCGACGCTCTTTAGAATGGCTTAATCAGAACTTTTTTACACCCCCTCATTCTCGAGATTCCGCAGTCACACTGAAGAGTATGGCAATTTTGGCTCAAAGTCCCGTTTTCACTCTAAGGAAAAAGCTTTTCAAAATTATTTTTTTATTAAAATGTAACTCGGGCTCTGCTCCATCGATTGATGTATTTTTCATATTTTGTCGGTGCTTATACACCGTAAAAAAAAGATTCTTATCAACTGTACGGAAAATTTTTGCCAATCGGAAAACGTTCACTTTTCAGTCTAATGGGCCTACACAGAACAACAAGGAGTATTTTGTAACTTTTTTTATCTACAAAAATATACTAGAGAAAGTGGAAAATATTTTAGTGCAAACTGCTTATTAAAAGCTTTTTTCGTTACCGAGTTATGACCAAAAAGAAAGAGGATAGGAATGTACGGAAAATTTTTCGTCACTATTGTTTTATTTCGTTCGAATTTACTTTTGTTCTGCACGCTCATGCATATTTTATGCACATAAAATATCGCTTCTTTCGAAACAATAGATCCGTATCAGATAAGGAAAATCTCTATCTCTTCACATCTTGGCAAATGTCTATATGTTAGGGAGCATGTCAAAATGTATTCCGGTCGGTCGGTCGCTATTCCTCTATTCCGCTATTCCTCTGTTCCGCTATTCCTCTATTCCGCACACAACATTTCGTTTTATAATAACTTTTATATACATGTATATAGGAACTTCGTTTTCTTTTCTAATTTAATCTGATT